ACTGCATCTTTCTTGTGAAGAACTACCACTCAGAAATCAAAACAAATGATGATATAAATGCGCTGATCCTGACCGCACTGAAACAGATGATTACCTTCGGAGAAGACTTTCTCAACAACCTGTAGACTGCTGAGCTAAACCTTGTATGATCAAAGCATGAAAAATGTGCTTGACATTTTCTTTTTTACAGTATTGTGCACTTTTATGTTCATTTTCAAGCATGTTATTGTAGTATTTATATCCAGCCTGGTCTCCTAAAAATGAATACTTGATACAAACTGGCCAATCAAATTGACATTGGCTAGGTCTGACCAGGGTCCAACCGCTATCCGGTTCTGCTCCATCAGCTCTCAGGAAATCATTTCAGATATTCTTCATTTTCAGGCCAGTTTCGTGGATTTCGACCTAGTCCTGGTTAAATGTTGTTACCCTGAGTGGTTAGAAGGACGTTTCTAAAACGTTATGTTTATACGCACAAACCTGTAGTGAAACATTAGCGGAGTATGTTAGCACATCATTAACTCGTGTTAGTACTTGTATGCTTCGCTTGCTAGTGAAGGTATACTGATACACATGCTAACAGTGAATAAAGTCCTCTGTTTTTCCAGAAATTAGATAATATTCATTCATGGAGTGCAGTTAGTGAGAGTGTGGGCTCCTTAATAGCTCTGACAGCTTGACGGAGCAGCAGCAGGAGGTGGGGCTCAGAAAAGGGTTTAATTACATTTCGAGGGAAAAAAGGAGATTTAAAAACAATTAACAACATTGATTAAAACATTAAAAACAGTCATTAATTTAAAACATTGAAAAGCAGTATAAGAAATAAAATACAGTAATAAAATGCAGAAATGCAGGAAATTGATTAATATCCTTGAATCTGGTTCAATTAAAGGCAGCAGCAAACAGAAAAGTCTTCAATCTTGATTTAAAGGAGCTGAGGGGCCCAGCAGACCTGCAGCTTTCTGGGACTTTGTTCCAGATACGTATGTGGAGCAGAAAAACTGAACGCTGCTTCTCCATGTTTAGTTCTGACTCTGGGAACAGAAAGTAGACCAGTCCCAGACGACCTAAGGGGTCGGGATGGTTCATAAGTTGGCAGCAGATCAGAGATGTATTTTGGCCCTAAACCATTCAGTGCTTTATAAACCAACAGCAAAGTCAATTCTTTGTTGGACAGGAAGCCAGTGCAAAGACCTCAGTACGGGTGTGATGTGATCCACTTTCTTGGTCTTAGTGAGGACTCGAGCTGCAGCGTTCTGAATCAGCTGCAGCTTTCTGATTGACTTTTTACAGAGACCTGTAAACACACCGTTACAGTAGTCCAGTCTACTGAAGATAAATGCATGGACACGTTTTTCCAAATCCTGTTGAGACATAAATCCTCTAATCCTTGATATATTCTTCAGGTGATAGTAGGCTGAATTTCTAATAGTCTTGATATGGCTGTTCAGGTTCAGGTCTGAATCCATAACTACACCTAGATTTCTGGCTTGGTTTGTGGTTTTTAACACCAGTGATTGAAGCTGAGCGCTGACTTTCAATCGTTCGTCCTTGGTACCAAAAACAATTACTTCTGTTTTATCTTTGTTTAATTGAAGAAAATTCTGGCACATCCAGTTGTTGATTTATTCAATGCATTCAGCTCTTTTATGGGATTATAGTCCCCTGGTGATATAGTTATGTAGATTTGTGTGTCTTCTGCATAATTATGATAAAACACTTTGTTGTTTTCCATAATCTGAGCTAATGGAAGCATGTAGATGTTGAACAGAAGAGGCCCCAGTATTGAACCTTGGGGAACACCACATGTCATTTTAGTCAGCTCTGATGTGTAATTAGCTACAGACACAAAGTATTCTCGGTCCTTCAAGTGGGATTCAAACCAGTTAAGTGCTGTGCCAGAGAGTCCCATCCAGATTTTTAGGCTTTCTAGTAGTATGTCATGGTCGACCATGTCGAATGCAGCACTGAGATCCAGTAATATTAAGACTTCTGCCATTCTTCTGTGTTTAAGTGGATGTCATTGAAAACCTTAACAAGAGCAGTTTCAGTACTGTGGTGCTGTCGAAAGCCTGACTGGAAGACATCAAAACAGTTATTTACGGCCAAGAAGTTGTTTAGCTTTTGAAAAAACGCTTTTTCAATTATTTTACTTAATAATGGGAGGTTTGATATTGGCCTATAATTTTTCATTGTTGCGGAGTCTAAACTATCCTTCTTTAGGAGTGGTTTAATAACTGCAGTTTTTAGGGCTTGTGGGAAGACACGAGAGAAGGGATGTGTTTACAATTTGTAAAAGATCAGTGGTCATGCAGTGTGTGTTGGTAGAATATCCAAGCAGCAGGAGGCTGACTTCAGATGTTGTATAATGTCTTCCAGGCTTCTAAGGTCGATTGAATGAAATTGTGTCATGATATTTGAATGGATGCTATTCAGACATGGGGACAACACATACGGTATCTTGTGGTTGGTGTGGAGGGACTGACTGCTTGTCTAATTTTCTGAATTTTGTCAGTAAAAAAAGTGGCAAATTGATTGCATGCCCAGATGGATTGGAGCTCAGCAGCTACCGACACTGGAGGGTTTGTTAGCCTGTCGACGGTAGCAAATAAGGCACGTGTTATTGTTTTTGGTTATGATGTCAGAGATGAAGGACTGCCTTGCATTTCTAAGTTCCAAATTATAATTGCGAAGTCTCTCTTTATAGATGTCACAGTGAACCTGGAGATTTGTTTTTCGCCATGCGCTCAGCTTTCCGACACTCTCTTTTCTCTATTCTGACCAGCGTGGCATTTCTCCAAGGAGATCTTTGCTTACCCGAGACAACCTTCACTTTAGTGGGTGCAATGGTATCAATAACATTTTTGACTTTAGAATTTAAGCTATCTACAAGCTCATTGACTGAGATGCAAGAGAGGGCTGGTGTGGAGGAGAACTTCTGAATAAATAGTACACTGGTGTTTTCAGAGATGTAACGCTTTGTCACAACCTCGGTTTGGACATTTGTGTGCAAGGAGATATACTCTCAAAGAAAACACAGAAATGATCAGAGAGTGCAACATCTGTCACAGCAACCTTGGAAATGTTTACACCTTTGATGATGATTAGGTCCAGAGTGTACCCCCTGTTGTGGGTGGGTCCTGTCACATGCTGAGTCAGATCATAGTTATCAAGGACACCACATAGTTGTATAGACCCTCTATCCTGGGGATTATCAACATGGATAGCATTTGGCATTTGGCATTTGGCATTTCGCCATCTTGCTTTTTTGCAACCAATGAGTGGAAGTAACCATATTTCGACTGCAGAGAAGTGACAAGGAATACGGCTCTGGTAGCAGTAGCGACCTGTCAATCTACCTATTTTACTGTAAATGGGACCATAATTTACTAAATGAACATCATTCTGTATTGAAGAAGACTTGAAACTAGCGATTTAAACCAAAGACTTATAATTTATAATGTTTACAATGTTTACTGAGGTAATATATCAGGTGAGCAGTAAGGTAATTTACTCATAGACTTATTTTTGCAATAAGAGAAGTCGCCACCTGCTGGTCAGTAGAGAGAATGCAAGTTTAAGGCACTTCGACAATGGATACACTTTTCAGAACTGTAGGTTGCCACCTGATAGGATGTGAGCTTAAACAGTGGTGCAGTGATGTTCCACATAAAAAGTGTTTAGTTTACTAAAATAATACGGATCACATATCTGGAAAGTTACGTTACAGTTTCTTAGTTTACTCGTAGCCAACTTAATGCTTTTTGCATTAAGAGCTTTTCTGCTCTGATCTCTCTTTCCCTGTTTTTTGTCCCATTCTTATTTTCTAACCCGGTCTTATTTGTGTTTTGGGAGGATGAATAGAGAGTGAGAAAGAGATGCCATGCCTGAACCAAACCATTGTTAACATGTATGATTTTTGAAGTAAGAACTAGTTTACCCACAAAATTTGGATTTAACTTATCATATGCAAATACTGTCTCGTTGCTCCTGTAGAATTTGCACATATTTGAATTAGGTAATATGCATACATTTGCAAAAAAATCAAACACTTTCTATGCAAATGTGCCTTATAGCAAAAACAGTGCAATCCCCAAAGATCAGTCTAAATAGGTACATGCAGTTACAGTGAATGTACGGTAAATGATATGTATTCTGGGGAATAGTGGCAGGATGCAAGGACAATTGTGTCATGAAATATAATGAATAAAGCTACCCTACATGTCATATATGAAAATACATGAGAAAAAACATGAATTAAATTTAAGGTTATTAGACTTAGCCTATATAAACAAATAAAAAAAAAAGATTTATTCTCTCTCTCTTTTCCCAAATCCTGCGCTTACAGTTTTCCCTCCCCCTCTTAATTGCCTTTGGGAGGTTTGGGTGGAAGTGGCCCTCTGGTACAGACCTCTGGTTCAGGCGGCCTCTCACCTCTCACAACCGACACGTTGGCTTCAAGCACATTTATACTTTGCCACTTGAATAACTGCAATCAGATGCAAAAACAAGTTATACAGACATTCATGGCTCCCAGAAGAATGGCTTTTGTGATCGGGACCTTTCCTCTATCGCCACAATCTATAGCAACTGATAGATAAGCCTTCAGTTTCTGTTGAGTTTATGACCACACACCTGTAAAACAAAGACATTTCATCAGACTCAACTGCACTTTGTGTTTAATGACAGGTAGCAAGTATTAGCATGTTAACACCCATAACTCTAACATGAACATATTATTACGAAGCATTAGTATGTTTGCATTTTCCAGCATGTTAGCATGCTAATGTGAGCATTTAGCACCGCTGTGTACAGCCCCACAGAGCAGCTAGCATGGCTTTAATCTCTCAGTCGTATGTATCCTCTTGGTAGAAAATACCAAACAGTGAATTGAACAAATGCCTTTTAACGAAAACTATTGAGTAATCACCTCTCCATTGTATACCGCCATGTCTGTCCAAAATGCCATCACTTCATTTCATTAGATATTTGTATGAAATCATCATAATTGGCAAACTAGTTCTTGAGTTATGGCCAAAATGTGTTTTATGAGGTCACAGTGACCTTTGACCAGCAAAATCCAATTAGTGTGCTGCAGAAAATGGGCGACTAACGACTACAGCAGACAGCTGCAAAAAAGTGTTTTGTATATAACACAGCATGATATATATATATATCATTAGCATTCAAATCATAGGGTGACAGAGTCACAACATGACAGTGAAGATGTCAGTATAGGATAAGTGCCTTTCGGATTATAACTTTCGGTATAAAAAAGAACGTTGTAGAGTAAGAGACACTACAGATAAGCGTTGTGATATTCCATTCACAGTCAATTTTAAAGTCGCTTGTACACGTAGATGACTTTTTGGCAGGAAGGACAGCGATGCTCCACATCTTGACAGGCCTCAACGCAGAATGGGATACAACAGCAGAAAATACACCTGTAGGTGAAAACCAAGAGAATTGTGAAATTCCAGTTAAAACCCGTTTGTGGAAAAGGATTTTTTTTTTGTATTTTTTATGAGATAGAAACTATACAAGTTTTTACCCAAACAGGGCGAGGCCACCACAGACGGCCCAGGTCATCAGGCCGGCAGTGTGCTCTGTGTTGGTGATCACTGACTGCTGGCAGTGGGGGCACACAGTTTGTCCTGGGACTTCATGTAGTGCCGGTGTTACTACCAAGTGAGTCACTGAGGATGAGAAATACACAGCACATAAAATTCAGGTTTTATCTCCATATTATTTAGTCTCCATATTCACTTGTACAAGCTAACTGGAAGTTAGTAGTTCCCCTTTTTTTAGGTAATAACTAATGATTTTATTTCTTAATGCATTATGTAATAATAACTGTTGTGGCCAGCAAGTCAGACATTTCTGTTGTTAGTTTAGACTTTTCAGTCTTAGATGTCATTACCAGATTTGAGGATGAAATGTACTGACTGCACTGACTCAGCAAGACCAGCAGAGGCTGCCAATAGCACAGCAACTGTAACGTGACAATGACTTTCTGTCTTTCCAATTTCCCTTTCCTGTAATTTAAGTCATTGAGGCATCCAAAGATAGAGGGTTTTATGGTAAATGACACATCAGATTGTTCTCATTGTGTAGTGGGAAACTGTCATTGATGGAAAGACTAATTTAAAAAATACTTTAAAATGTAATGTATATCAATGTAGATGTGATAATTGCAACACATCCTTCATGTGAGAAGCCTAAACTTCATATGAGCTGCTCCTTACTCGTCTTCTACAAGCAACACTCAAAATGTGAACGTGCATCAAAAGAAGAAGCAGTGAACAATATCTCCTCTCAGATGTGTGTCCATCAATGCATGTTCACTGTTGTGTTTCCTGTGTGTGCAGGCTGTGAACATGCATTCATGAACATCTTCTGACAAATGGTGCATCTGGGAGCATAATTTACTCAATGAACATCATGCTGTATTGAAGAAGACTTTACATTAGTGATTGAGAGCATAAACTCATGTTTACAATGTTTACTGAGGTAATAAATCAAGTGAGAAGTAGGGTCAGGTAGGTAGGGACCTCTTTTTGCAACCAGAGAACTCGCCCTTTTTTGAAATGGTTGAAAAGTTGAAGGCATTTCCACATTTGCTTCACTTTTCAGACCTGCAGTCTGATGTCTCATAAGGTTCCCATACATCTAAACTGCATTAAAATATACATGAGGGAAACAATTTTAAACATCAGAAAAAAATACATCAGAAAAAAACGCTAGAAAATTTTATGTTAGGTTTAGTAAAGAACTCCATGGTTTGGTTTAAAATGACTACAAAATTGAAACAAAACAAAACAAAAATGCAACAAAAGTACTTTGTTAGCTTTAGGCATCAAAACTACTACTTGCTTATGTTTAGATTCGCATGGGACACAAACAGCAATCTCCTGTATGAAAGTGCAGCAATTCATCCACCACCTCGATCTTCTCCAAGATTCCGTGGACTCATTTGAAACTTATTTGTGAAACATCAAAAGCAACAGTCTCACCTGTTGTGGCAGGAGCACCCAGAACCGGAGCATAAGCAATACCTGGTGAATAAAACACAGTTTACCAAAGCAGGAAAGGATGGTTCAGAACAGGTATTTCCATAAATCATCTATATCGGCTTTGCATAAAATACATGTAAGTGCGTATGTAAGTATACAGTATATGGTATTTTTTTTTGTCATACAGCCATAGATTAAAAACAAAGGTACATTTGTTTTAAAGAAAAAGGTGTGAAATAGTGTTGTTAGGCCGTAGATGGGTAAAATGAACCAGGGGTAACAGTATCAGCTTTTAACTGGGTCAGGCACAGACCTCCCTGATAAACACCAGGTGGAGGCGCTCCAGGCGAGAGGCCCGGCTGAGGGTACATACCTGGCTGTGGCACTGTACCCCCATAGTTCATAGGTGGTCCAGGGTACGGTGGAGCTGATTCATGTTGTTTTTCCATCTTCGGAAATCTCTACTGCATATGAGAAATGTGTGTTATTATTTTCTTTAGTTGATCAACAGGCTTTAAAAGGTAATAAGCAAAAAGTATAAACTTAGTTATAAATGTAAGACATTGTATTCTATTGCTGCCACAAAAAATTACAAATGTGAACACTTTTCATTCCATCGTGACATAGTGATAGTGATGTGGAAAAGCTTTAATATAGACTGGAGCCAAACTAAATGTGGTATTGTAACCAAGCATGCATCAACAGTTTCATAGGTTTGGTTAGAAATGCAGCCAGATACAAAAAAAACATTTTCACAAATGTGGATGAGAGCAAAAGAGGGTTTAGAAGCAAACAGTGACACCTCACACACATTTCCAGTTATAAATATATCTACAAAATGTTTTTAAGAAAGATTGAACTGGTTGATTGATTGATTGATCAGATCAGATGTATTGATTTAACTCGTGCAAGAGGAAGTGACTTGACTCTGTGTACTAACTGACATTTCAAAAGGATCTAGACACTAACAACACGTTTCACATCCTCTTTACAAGCCACACTCCCGTGAACATCCGCAACTGCAACTGCATTATTCACTCTACCATCTCCTGAGACAAATATGTGGCTATTTAGTGTGAGTGTTATATTATATTATATAAGTGGTACTTAGGCATAAATGAGTAAGCACCATTTTACTGTTGTAGTTGGTCAAGATAGCAAATTTTATCTAATCTTTGATCTAATGTTAGTAGGAGTTTCATCTATAAGAGTGCATCATATTTTATAAGATAGCCAGATATTTTGTACAATATTTCCTCTGAAATGTAGAGAGGGCATAAAATGGAAATACTCAAGTACATTACAAGTATTTCAAAATTGCACTTAAGCACAGTACTTGAGCAAATGTACATTATTACTTTCCACCACTGGGGAAAACTACGTGTATTAAAGTAGAAATAAAGACATGTCAAACTGTAGTATTGCTACAGTATGCCTTGGTGTCTGGCAGGCGGATGGAAGTAATTTGCTAAGTGGGGGAGGCGTGGGGCAGTAGAGCTTGCGTTTAAAAGCTCTTTGCATCGATAATGTTGTTTTATACTTGTCCAGATCCATTAGAGCCTCTTTCAGTGAAGGAAACCAACATGCTTTTTCGCTTTATTTTGAGAACAGAAAAAGGCTGCGACATATGCGGATCAGTCTCAACAAGCGCAGCCAGTCCCTTCCTGTTTCTCATCATAAATCCATCATAAATCAATTAGAGCAACATGAGCCACGCATATTAATTCACCACAGCATCGTACTTGTGCCTCGCCCTGTTTTGTTTGGTCAGTGTGTCTGAATAAAATTTACATGTATTCACTACCTTCATGTTCTTTGCATCCATTTTGGTTTTACAGTGGTTGAATAACAATATCAGCTAAATCCACATTCGTACACACAGCTGATAACTTTTACACCATCGCAACAGCAGCAGATAGTTACATAACTACATCATTTAAAAAAAAGATTTACCCGTTACTTTCTATTAAAATAAAAGAGAAAGTTACCCACCCTCTCTGTTGGAGCCTGGTACTGAGTGAGGTATGAAGAATCACGGTGAAGCCAGGGGAGAAGGAAGAACGACAGAGGAAAGTATTTCCTGTTTTTCGTAGTGGAGGGACTGTAGTCCCAGCTTCAAGCCCCCTCCCTCTTTCCCCTCCCTCCATGTGACTGGGTGGGTCTAAAGAGAATTAACAGAATAAATATGAAAGTGTTTGTTCAATATTGTTCTAATAATGACCAGTACGGCAATAAGCGTTACGAATACAGAGTTCAGCGAAAAGAGGGGCAGAGAGACGGGTTGTTTGCTGAGAACAAAGTATTATTTGTTGGCCCAGTTTTAGAAAGCAACGTGTGGGTAATGGACATTGTCTAAGCTACAAAGATTTTAGCCAACAGGAACTGGACTGCCATCAGTCCATCTGTTTAGGCTTTCGAGGTTTCCAGATTGTTGGTTTATGAAGGACGTACTACACCTTGGTAACCTTACTGAGTGTCACAGGTTTTACATGCTGTCCACATTTTTCAGCTGCTTTTTGCCACTTTTGTTTTGTTGAACATTGTTTTCAGTTTCAGAACGTTGTTCTTTTAAGTGGTATGTTTCAATGCAGAGGGCTTAAGTCTCTGTTCAGGAGGTAGTTTCAGATTGATGCTTGATGTTGCTAGACTTCACCAATAACTTGAGTCAACTTGTGTTGAAACCTGAAAGCATTTCTAACCTCCATAACACGCACAGAGGACAACCAGCCTCACTGTTCTTTTTGAGAAAACACCACTTTACACCAGGTTCACTCTATAATGTGTGTACAGTGTTGAGCTGCACAGAAGGCTACCAAAAGAGAGTGCATTTTGCTGTTGGTCACAAACCAAGACTGTTTACTTATATGTTTTTGTATTTGTAATAACAGGTATTTCATTACCTGGTTATGTTCACATAACTGCTTTTGTTACAAAAGCACTTTGTTTGTTTTACTAGTTTGAAAACACACATCTAAGCAATATTTCAGTAATTTTCTTATTGAAACTAACTTCAGAAGGAGTTATTTCAGCACTTTGGTTCCACAATACCTTCATTTTAATGTCACATTTTTTTGTACATTTACCAAAACAAGTCACATAATAGTCAAATATTGTTAAGATTTACATATTCTTTTAATTTAACATTGCAAGCACTATCTTACTTACTCTATTCAAGTGCTCTTATTGTTTACCAAAAGACAGCTTGGCATTGTCAACCATTGTCATAAGCCTATTGATGGGTTACTTTAACGGCTTCCTGCTGTAGCAAGTTAAAGCAAATTGCAGTCAAAAAGAAAACATGCAGTTTTGTATGCTGTGATTGTCAATAAATGTGTGGACTTTGCATTTTACTCAGTCCTCTGTGTGTACATATATTAGCTACAATTATATTTGCATCCATCTCAGGCTATAAAAACGTAGTATTCCTGACACATGCATTGGCGTAAGCAAGGTATTACGACGAGCCCTATAGTGCATACTAGTTACTAGTTATGAAAAATAATTCTTTTAAGGGTGCGTTTGCTGAGTACGATCCCACGTGAAGTATTTCAAGTGTTGTAAAGTCACGTTTAAAGTAGTCTTCAATGTACTCACAGTACATTTATATGTCAAATGTAGGGTAACCTAGAGCTGCTTCTAAATAAAAAAAAATGTATCTGTACACCTCTTACAAGAGGTCTGATAAGTAAATCACCTGAGGGTGTATAATATATACGGAGGGCCTTTACAGGCGAAAAAAAGATTTGTTGTGTCATAGAGAGGTTTCATCAGTTTTATTGCTCCCTGTTATACAAATTGCTAGTTTCTAAATTAGTACTCACTTCCTTTGGCACATCCATGTTATTGCAAAACAGTATGAATCATGTAAAGCAAAAGTAGTGGAATAAGAGTTTATAGTAATTCAACATTTGGACAAATACCAATGTAATGACAATTAATGCAGAGGAGAGCAATATGTCTAAAGTTCAGTTGTGTCCTAGCAGGATTTTTCTGGAGCTCATTCTCAGTTATGAGTTCCAAGGAAACAGGACAATGTTTCACAATACTGGAAATTCCTCAGTATCTGTTTGATCCTGACATCGTCTCCACACACTACATGAGTACACATGAAAGCACATATGAACTTTGTAACATGAAGGCCTGATGAAAGTCAGGAGATGGCTGAGGATACTGAGAGGTCACAGGACTATCACAAGGACACTACTCGCCACATCTGGAATGCACTACGCTTCAACAACGCTGACAGGATTACAGGCGGACGTGGGGAGGAAATCCAGAGAAAATAAATCTGTGTATTTTTCATATATGGCCACTGGAGGTCGGCAGAGTTTGCAACATTAATATGTTTAAATCTAGGTTTTGTTTCTTCCTTCACAGAGAGCAGAATGTGGGGTCATTTAAGCACTTCAGCAGGAGGAATACCAGAACACACAGCGTCTCTCATGATGCCACATACAAGAATACTGACAAGTTGGTCTTTATCATGTGTTCTTCTGGATCAGCTACTAGCACTTTTACTTAGATACTTGGTTACTGAAGTATCACAGGCATGTAATACTCTTTGTGACTGCTGAAGTTAGGTTTCAGTGTGCTTTACTACATCTTTCCGTTTCTTCTGTTGTTGTTTCTGCTACGTATAAGTAGGGTATGAAATAGCATTAATAGTGATTTGATTAATGGTCTTCACAGTCCAGCAATCACTGTTTGCCTCAATTATATCATTATTTCATAGTTGTGAAGTAGCCCAGAAACACAACACTATATCAAGACTGATGTTTTATCAATGGATGCAATAAAACAATAATAATAACAACAGGAAAAGAGACCAAGCAGGGAGCATCATCAGTTCATGTTAATTTAATTTATACCAGATCATGGGAGAAAAAGGTGAAACCTTAAAAAGAATGAAAGGGGTATCATGAATGCAGCTTTTGGTAGGACTTATGCAGACAGCTAAACAACTTTCAGTAATGTATGTCCATTAAATGTGCGATTCATTACAAGCACACCCAAGGCTTACTCCCATTTTTACTATTCTCACCTATGTGGTAATAAGTAGTACAATAGTAAAGGGAGATTCAGTGTTGTACAGTGTGGAATACACTAAGGTTTTGCGATCAGGAGTACTGTAAGAACAAGCCAGAGAAATATTGTGGCAGTTTTCATGGATCCTTGATGGGATGCTTAGCACATTCAGGAAAATAGCCACACACAAAAATAGAGATTTTCTTAGCTCTTTCCTCTCTGTCTTTTCAGTGAACTTTCTTATAGAAACCAGATAAATCTGTCTCTCTCCAGCTTGTTTCTTTGTGTCTTCAATTTTTTTAATTCCAGTTTCCTTTCACCGTACCATCTCTATACAAGTGTCTGCTAAATAAATGGTGTTCTGAGTGTGAAAGATTAGCGACTGTGAAGAAGGGACAAAGGAGGGACAGAAGAGAGGAGGGGGGCTGAATAACAGGACCATCAATCAAAAATACAGTCTCCGGTCCAATAGGAGGTGACAAGAAGTGTGTTTTTATCAGTTTGACACTTGTCAGCGTCAGGGTTTCAAAGAAAGGATGATTTAAAGGTTAATGTAAAATAATCCACTGTGATAGCAATTTACTATTGAAGAATCTGTAGACTATTAATTCACATTGTGTTGACTATGATTTCCCAATCTTCTATTTTATACATGAACAGCTTTCAGGTTTGTGGCGTAAACAGGTGCACTTGTGAGGGTAACGGCATGGCACAACAGCAAAAATATGAGCTGATGCAACAACCTGAGTTTTTTGTTTTTTTACCAACCTCTGCACGGCTGACTTTCTATACTGTGATCCACAGGGAGAGCAAGAGAGCGGAGAAAATAGTGCCAGATGACTTCCAGTGGCTGCCAAACCCAAACCCCCTCGAGCCGTTTTGCTTTCCAGCCTTTACTCATAAGTCATAACTGGATATTTGATGACTCTGTCCTTGAATAGCTCCAGCTCCACTTTTACAAAAACACTGAGATGTCCGAGGGGGAAGTCCGCATAATGATGATGGGTCGAGTTTGGCTACTGGGTACTCAAATCTCAGTTTCATTACCCTGCATGCTTTTCAAGGAGTACTGTATGTGGAATGCAGCAATCTCTTAATAATGTCAATGGAAGCAACTTATCTTTCTCTTTAACCCTAGACAGCGTCCACTATCAGTATGATACACGATTATCATGAATACAGTGTTTGTTATTCTTTTTATTTGAGCAAACGTTAACAACTGGGGCTACTATTGCAGAGCCCGTCCTGAGCAGGACGATTGCTAGTTAGATAGAATAGCTGCATAAGCTGTGTGTTGTTGTTTTTTTCACTTATTTAGTCATAAAGGCAACCTGTGTTTTATACTGTACAAGATGACATAAGGAAGCAGTGAGTAGGCTAATGTGTTGACAAAAGCGGAACACCCAACGGAAAAATGTCTGGCAGTTGAGATTGTGGCATTGCAGAAGCAGTTTAATTGCTCTTATCTAGTTTGTATTATTACTTCTATTCTTATACTAGTAGTTTTGTCCAAGGAATCATGTGGCAATTTTTTTTTCCGAAATAGAGAAAGCATTAAACAGCCATACTCCCGTCACGACTGGGACATGCACACAAATAAATCAGAAATTACAAAAGTTCCTTCAGGTTTTGTCAACCCTTCAATGATTTTTTGTCTGCAGATAAATCGCTTTTGTAAAACTTGTCTCCATCGTATACCCTGACAAAAGCCTATTAATCCGTTTGAGGTAAAGTCCTGATTCAGAACTCCCTTAATGGATTTATTTAATTTGTTAAAAGGTGTGTGCGTGTGTGTGTGTGTTCACAGTTGGCAGTAAACTGGTTTTAATTTGGATCAGTATAGCTCATATAGTTGATTTGTCCATGTATTAAAAAGCAAAACATATATCCTAATCTTCATCTTCTTTCCTTGGCAGTATCTCACACCTACATTTCAAATCCAGTGGAAGACTAATACCATCTCCTATTCTGTATTTCTCACATTTTTTACTTTGGCCCAATTCCTCTTCAGCCTCCTGTAACACATTTACAGATTACAACTATTGATGTGTAGGCAAGCCGCTAAGTTAGCAAACATGATAGATGACAAATACTGTGAAGTATGGCTGTGTCATAAGGTGGAGTTCCTCTTGATCACAACTGCTGTAAAATATCTGAATTATTTTATTGACCTTGCACACAACCGATGAGCACACACAGATACTGTCCTCCTACACAAACCCCCCGTAGAGCTCATGCACTTGCGCATTAGATGTTTGATTAGCGGCCATTATAGGGAGGTCTGAACGGGCGTGAAGGGAGAGGCCAAAGAACTCACATTCACCTTACTGTCGTCATGCGGGCAGTACTAACAGGATGAGAGGTAAGGACTGACCAAAACCAAGGAGCTATTTACAACAATATAAGGATCGAAGAGGAAAGTTGGTGAAAAGAGATAACCTAATTGATATCTAGCTCTATCCAGAACCACAGTAAACTGACCACAGGATTACAACCACCATGGTTACACTGGACATCAGGACGCTGGTGGTGCGGATACTGGAGGTGATCCTCACCTGTATCTCCTTCAGCCTGGTGGCATCAGTGGGCCACAGCACTGCGTCCTTCTGGACGTGGTGCATGTTCACCTGGTGCTTCTGCTTCTGCGTCACCATCCTCATACTAGTCCTGGAACTCACCAGCCTCAGCGCCAAGCTGCCCATCTCCTGGGATGACTTCACGACCGCTTTTGCCATGTTGGCTACTCTAATGGTGTGTGCCCTTTTTTTACTCTCTTGTTATTTGTCTTTATCTACAGATACTTTTTTTAATTCACAAACTTGTCGCAGATTATTGGTGAAATACATTAGTGATTCACCACTGACATTGCTCTTATTGGGAATATTAAAGTCAATTTTTTACAGAAGAAAATATATTTTAATCAAAATTTCAAACTAATACACTATATGAGCTTTAAACGACCACAACACACAAGATCTTTTTTTTCCAACCGATAATGTAAACCTAAACAGACGGGTACTCAAGGCAGCCAAATCCACATCAACACAAAATGAAATGATGTCATGGTTGAGAAAATCAAACACTGGTTACAGGTCTGTATTCTTGAGCTTTCATTAGGGTCATGTTGTTTTCTGTACCACTACAATTTTATGAAAAAACAGAATTACTAGAATGGTGCACTCAGAGTGCAGATCTCTCTTAGGTGTGTCTGTAACCTACAGTTAGACTGCAAGTGTATCACGTGTTTTTTACTCACACTCTGTGCACCGCCTCACAGGCGTAACCACCGCACGGAGCATTTATTTAGGCTTAAAATCTATTATTTTCAACAAAACGTGTGCAAAAGTTGAGTTGATGCCCAATAAAAGTCACAAAGTCAAACTAACTGCAAGAGAGTAACTTGCAGATTGAATCATTTCACACTATATGTTTTATTTCTCTCTCATACAGGTGCTAGCAGCATCCATCATCTATCCCGTCTTCTACACTTGCCCTAGCTGCGTCAGACATATTGGTGCGAGCGTTACTTCCTGTCTGGCTTTCATCCTGTACGCCGTTGAGGTCGGGCTGCTCCGGGCTAAACCTGGTGAGATAAGTGGATTTATGTCCACAGTCCCAGGCCTCCTCAAGGTTCTGGAGGCCTTCGTGGCCTGCATCATCTTCATCTGCTTGGACTACAACCAGTTTTCTAGGTTTCCAGGGCTCCAGTGGTGCGTTGCCGTATACTCCGTTTGCTTCATTTTTGCCCTGCTCGTCATCGTTTTTACCATCTGCCGCCTTCTGACTCTTTTCCCCGCACCGTTTGACAAAGTCCTGACAGTCTGCAACGTGTTGGCAGTGTTGATGTACATCACCGCTGTGGTCATCTGGCCGTTGTACAGCTTCAAGAACAATCCCAGGCCGAGCTCCTGCAAGAATGGGATTAGATGTCCCTGGGATAATTTAGTGGTTATCACGTTCATGACCTGTTTTAACCTTGCTGCTTACATCGCTGATACTGTTTACTCTTTTAGGCTGGTGTTCTTTGTCAGCAGAACCTAGGTTGCAAATATGTGTCATATTTCAGCTGTTGGAAGTCCACTAGGACTCAAAGAATGAACACGAGAGCAGGAGAATGATATGTAGAGCATCTCTTATACAACTTCTGCTAAGCATTTCACTGTTGTCAATTTTTATCAGTTAAGATGATGCATTCTCTGAGAACATGAAACTGTGTCTAATTATTAACGTCGGGAAGATGTAATCCCAATATCTTTGCACCCCGATTCTCATCTGATCCTTCTTAATTATCTAATTTTGAGACGGCATTGATATGACCGCACCCATCTCAGTTGCAGTTGAGTGCATATTGTTGTTGATCTCTGAAATATGAATGAAATATAATAAAAGTTTGGATTTATAGTGCATGCTTACATGTGGTGTGTCACTATTATTCGGTTGTTTCAGCAATTAAATAAATAAATTACGATCATGAATGAATAACTCATAAATGAGCAATATGTTTAATGAGTAAATACTCAGTTTAATGGTTAAACAGTTACAGTGGGACCGCTCCTATCCTTCTCGAAGTATGTTTGCAAAGGTGTGTCAAAGTGTGCATACCGTGAAACACACAGCAGCTACAGGTTTCAATCTCACAGCTCCCCTCCCGCTATTCTGCTCTGAACAAACCTCTTACTGTCAAAAATGTATTCACCCCTCTGTGTTGCCATGTTTAACGAGGAAAGGAAAAAGAGTAGAGGCGGGTCTCATGTTCGTAAGTTTAGCCTCCCTCTAACAACATAACAAAAGCAAGTGAGTAATTGGTCAGGATTAAAGCCTTGTTTGCTAATCGTAGCGATGACGTGGGAGGTTACTCACATAACCTTTGACCAGTCCAGGCATTGCTGTGCTCTGAAAAGTCAAAATGGAGACCCAAGAGTAGATATTATAATGATATTGTGTAAACAAATAAATGGAGCGAAAAAGAACCAGAGGATCAAGGGAAGACAGAGGAGATGGTATAATAAAATATATGAAATGTTTCTGGGATTTTAATGTTTTTTTAAACTTTTTTCCTCTTTGGTGCAATGAATAAAAAGAAAGTTTTCATAGAACGTTTTGTTTTTGGTAAACACTGATGTAATGAATCACAATACATTACATTACAATACTAAAGTAAAACATCATCGTGTAGTTTCTTGTCAATTTGGTGTGACGGTAGATTTTCCTCTTTTTTTAAGTCTATTAAAGAGATAACTCTTTTTTAACCAAACTGAAGTATAATCTTTGTACCATAAAATCCATTCTGTAAACTCTCCAATTTGTTCCACCCAAGAGCAGTAAATCAAGTGAACTCAAGGTTAGGATAGGAGAGCTTTTGCGTAGGATGTGACCTGCACGCCTCGCCATTGTGCTGGAGAACATGCACTGGGGACCAGAGTCCAGCGTGTGTGTCTTGAGGGGAACATGACAACACTCAAGCATCCAATCCGTGGAGTGAAACAGAGCCATAAACTGCGCAGATAAGCCTGTGATGATCTGTCTGAATACACACAACCACAGTTTGAGTTTGAGTTTCAAAGAACACACCTGTTCGAGGCTCTACATGGATGTCTTTATCAGGATCTGAGTAGAATCAACTGACTTTGGAAACAACATTTTTTCTTTTACATCAAACGGACTCATCCTGTCCAGTCATGATTGGCGTGGACTTACGGGCGCTCACCCAGCCTGTGGGCATAATGCGAATAATAGCGACCATCCTCACCTGTATGTCTTTTAGCCTGGTGGCAACAGTGGGCCACGTCTCATCTCCCTACTGGGCGTGGTGCATGTTCACCTGGTGCTTCTGCTTCTTCTTCACCCTTCTTATTCTCATCCTGGAGTTCACAACTGTCAATACCAAACTACCTTTCGCCTGGGATGACTTCACCACTGCCCTTGCCATGCTGGCGAGCCTCATGTGCCTCTCTGCCTCCATAATGTACCCCGTCTTTTTCACCTGCAGTACCTGCCACCGCCAGATCGGTGCCTCCGTGGTGTCCTGGGTCTGCTTCGGGGTTTACGCAGCCGAGGTGGCTTTAACTCGCCTTCGTCCGAGTGGGCAGAACAGCGGGTTCCTCTCCTCGTTGCCCGGCATCATGAAGATGCTGGAGGCGTTCCTCGCCTGTCTCATCTTCACGTCCCTGGAGAATAGCCAGTTCTCCGGCTCCCCAGAACTGCAGTGGTGCGTGGCTGTGTACTGCTTGTGCTTCATCTTCGCCATCCTCATCATCCTGCTCTCTACTGGACGGCTGACCTCTTTTTTTCCATTCCCCTTTGACAAGCTTGTGATCGTCTATAACATTTTGGCAGCAGTGATGTATATGACAGCCATGGTGATCTGGCCACTGTATAGTTTCCGCGCCAATAAGAGACCCAGTTCCTGTGGCCACCTCTGTCCCTGGGACAAACTGGTGGTGGTCACCTTCATGACGATCTTCAACGTCATTATTTACACCCTGGACACTGCCTACTCTATACGCCTTGTGTTCTGTGTTAGTGACCAGTGAGCTGCTGCTTATCAAAACTAACATGAACTGAGAACAATTTGAGTCCTGGGTTTGAATTATTGGGAAGAGATACTCTTGCCCAGAGCCATTGTGAAAACATTCATTTTGTTGATGCTGAATGCAAAAAAAAATATATATATATATATCTTGTTCTAACACTGTTCACCAAGTGTTCACAAAGATGAGTGAATAATAAAATGTTGGAGCCCAGTACCCTATTGAAAAAGTAGTAGAGTTAGTTAATGATTAAAACTGTAGTATCACTGTTGTAAAAATTAAAAAATAGCCTGGTAGAACTTTGGATCCTGATACACAAAGAGTATTCAAACAGTGGAGGTAATAATACTGAGCTCACACTTCAGTTTATTATAGTGTCATAGTCAAATCATGTGTTTTCACTTTCATGCTCGTCCTCTGGTCATTTGGGGATGCAGCAACTTGCTGATTTAAGGTGTAGTTTGACATTTTGGGTAATATTCATATTAAATTAGATACCACTCTCATATCTGTACAGTAAATAAGTCAGGAAGTTACTGCACCTGGCCAAGAAATAGTCTGAGCTCAGCATTGCTGGCGGATGATGTTACCTTCTTCAGAGCCAGGCTGTAGCTGTTAGTCTTTACACCTAACTATGCAAACCGGCAGTGGGTGGTAGCTTTGTACTTATAAAAACATAAGACTGGTATTGATTTTCTTTTCTAAACACCGTCTTGTGGGGTTTTTTGCAATAAAGTAATTGCCAACTGATACAGAACTGATCAATGTATGTGAATGTATGAACACTGACAGGCAAGCAGAGCATCCAATGAAAGATAAGATGGGAAGAGAAGGAACAAGAGAGAGAAACACAAGGACAGAAGAATTTATAAGATAGAAGCTGAGACAGTGAGAGATTTCCAGACTTTGGAAGCATGTGTGGGAAAAGTGAAAAAGAAAATCCTTTAATCAACAGGCAGCTGCAGCATATGGAGTTGGATTTGTTGCAAGGTGTTATCTTTCTTTTTTAGCTTCTTTTCTTCCTCCGTGATGTGGCAGACAGGGATGGAGATCTAAAAAAAAAAAAAAAAAAAAAAAAAAAAAGTGTGACGTTAATTCATTCTTTTTTCTAACTAATTGGAACCGTAAAGGGACGTCACCCAAATCTCACTTGTAATCCCGCAGCTATTGTGCTCCCTGGCACACCAATCTGTGTGAGTGAACTCAAGTCAAAAGGAGCAACTGAAGCGTGGAAATTCTGCTTTTCTTCTCATGTCAGTCTGTCAGAAAGACAGTGCACGTTTAGGTCAGTAGTCTAGATCTGTCAGACATGTTGGCAAAGTGCAGACAGCAGAGTCTGCTTTGATTTGGAGAACAGAAGGGACAAAAATGCACTACACCAGCGATTCTCAAAGTGGGGGATGTGGCAGTAAATGGCCCGCTAAATAATTAGCTTCACATTATTAAATTGCGCTGTATCATTAAGAAAATGCAATTCACAGATGGGGACCATTTGCGTCAATAAAACAAGCCTATTGTGTCCATTACGTTAGCTTTGAGCCAATAGACATGTTGATAATTGTGACAAGCAGCAATACGAAATTAGTGAGAGTCGGCTTTAGACTGTTCAGTTTAAGGATCTGGATTTATTAGGACTATGTCACTACCGTTTATTTTCTGAAAGCTTTTAAGATTAATTATTGAAATGTTGGCTATAAATGCTGTAAAGATGAGTCCAAATGTTTAAAAGGTATATAAGTGGTATTAGCATGCAATAACATTGCAAATTGACCCGCTGTGAGACTAATAAAAGGATCATCTAATTTTATCTTAACATGATTCATATTGAAATGTGTTTCTGTTTGTCACTATGAAACAGGGCTGAAGTATTAAGATTGAAAAGTTTCAGAATACATATACTCTTAGCATCTAAGGATTAAATGGCATATGCTTAATCAGTGTTATGATTATAGGGGGCCCTTGGAAAATGGGAAATGTCCCTGGCATCAAAAAAGTTTGAGATTAGACATGAGATGACATTCCTTCAACCTCCTCTCACTCCGTTATCTGAGGAGAGTAAAACACTGGTAAAAAATGAAAGTTATTGACTATTATCAGTAGAAACAAGACTTGTGGTTCTGTCATCAAGTGTATAAATAATGGCAATTACTGTAAAGCAGTTCTGTAACAACTTAGAACTATATTTTAAGTCATGCATTTAGCATTTATCAGCAGTATGTTAAACATTTAATAAATGGTTAATAATACACTAATGTAGTTGTACGCAGCTAGAAAGACATCTTCAAAGTGTCTTTTAATGTACAGTACGTGAGCAACTTCTCTGAAAACATTTTATATTACTACATGTGTTTTACTAAATTATCAGGTTAATATATTCAAATAAACTCCAATCATGTTTTACCTCCAATTTGTTATTGACTGGCAAAATTCTACTTGTTTTACATTACTCAGACTAGGACAAATACAATGCCTCTGAAGTTCACAATGCAGTGTGCTCACTGAGCTACAACCAAGTACAGCTAGGATCCAGGATATTTCCATCCATTTCAAGAACATTAGAAATAAGATAAGTAACACACTTGCCTCAGTTCATTTACATACATTTTCTAATTAAAGTGAATGTTTCACGGGACATAATGAGGACTCAAATGCAGACAGTCAGAGCAGTGAACAAAAGGGTTTTAATAACTCACGAAACAAAAACAGGAAATCCAATCCAAGGACGAGACAAGGGGGGAAATCCGGCAAGACAAAAACAGGGAGGGCAGACTGGGAAACCGGGAACAGGAAGAGCAAAACGGGCAGGTAGATAGGAAACAAAACAATGATCTGGCAGTGAGTGAGTGAAAGACAGGGGTTTAAATAGTGACTAGAACAGGTGAGGAGAGTTGTGCTGATGAGGGAGAGTGTGACTGGCAGGTGCACTGAATGAACTGATTAGGGACAAGTGAAGGAAGTGAGGAGCTACAGAAAACCACACACAAAACACCCAAGGCAAAGCCTGATTGTGACAGAATGTACATGGCTGATTTTATGTAAAGAAGAAACCTGACTAAATTACTCAACTTACGTTAGCAAGAACAAACATGATACATTGCTTTACCTCAGGTTTTTTAATATCATATTAGCCGAATAGCCTCAGACTCTGAAGAAAATGAGCATTTCCTTCTCATGCTCAAAAAATAACGTGGATGCCCTTTGGGACAATCGTGGCTCTCCCCTCAGATTGCAGCTAAATTGGGCTTGTGGTGCAGTACTTTTAAAGTTACACAATTAAAGCTTGAGTCACAGCACTCCAGGCTAATCAATGTAGGTTTTTAAAAACCAAAGCACAGTGCCAAAATGTATCACAAATGCAATCAAATTTTGTTAAAGTTGGCTGTGTCTGAGATATTGTAAATGTAGCATAAGTGAGAATTAGCACTCGTACGCATTGGTTGAAGAGTGGTGTTGAAAGGTCTTTACAGCTTTCCAATTTTGTTTTTTACTGCAAACAAGAGCTTTGCTTTTTCTCAACATGTTTTGAAATATACTGGAATCACTGTATGTATACTTTATGCTAAATGTAATTATATAGGTAAACAGTACTGTATGTGGGCAATCCACAGTTTATTAACACATGTCCCTGAAATGTGAGCGGTCTTTCGACATCCTTGTTAGCTGCATGCTGCGATCCACTAAGGTGAGCTCACCATATAATAGTTGTAAGCGTAGGAGTCACTCAGTCATCTTTATCTTTTAATAACCTTCAATTCAACTGAGCAGCCATCATAGGAGGAGACTGTGAAAATGAATCACCACCAATTAGTTGGCAGTACTTCAAGAGTGTCAAGGGAACAAATCAATACACCTTATATTTGAAAAAGCGTGTGTGTGTGTGTGTGTGTGTGTGTGTGAGAATCTACCTGCATGTTTGCACTGTAGACTATTCAATTATAATTAACATCTAATTATTTATTAATTACAAATAACAAATTTGTATTGTAAAGTTATGGAAGTTTTAGAAGCATGTAAGTGAGGTGTTGGTGCAGCTCCACTGCAGCGAGCTGTCACAACACCCCACATAAACCATCATGGTGTGTGTAAAGGCTGTTTCTCCATAATGTGAATGAATGTGTTTTATTTGACTTCTCTGTTCACTCTTTATAAGTGAACATTTATTTTCCATCATTATTAAAAAAAAAACATAATTCTTTATAATCTAAAAATCCACTTCAAAAACCATAGTTATAACAACTTTAAAAAGTTGCTGCATACAAATTTCAGAGCATATCTATTGCCTCTATGACTCTCAACATGACGGCTAAGCCAGCAGCTTGCAGCTAACAGTGGTAACAGGGTTTACTGTGCAAACAATAGCAACAGTGGTGACAGTGTTGAGAGGAGGATGTTTTAGCCCCACATACATCTTATGCCATAATTGAATCCAGGCCCATGTCAAACAATCAACAATCAAATCAAGCTAACCCAGTTATCCTCGTTCAGTGATAATGACCCAGCTGGTGGATCTAATAATAGTATTGTGTGTGTGTATATATATATATATATATATATATATCTCTGTTGGGGAGTTTATCATACGGTAAATGACTTCTGCTGTGTTACAATCTTACAAGCTATACATGACCCACCTGGTAACCTAGATATTAATCAGACAAACCTTTTAGGGACAGAAATTCTGAAGATTTGAGGACAGACAGATTTTTATCCTCGAGCTCTGCAAAATGTCTGCTCACCTTTGGGACGAGAGTTTGTGTTAGTAATACACAAGCGCCACTTCACTCTATTTTCTGGCTACGCTGACAATTACTTTCAAATGTTTCTCTAACACACACACACACACACATAACGTCTGGAGTGGTTGTTTTGAGCTTCCACTTTGTGCAGATGCTCCTTTTCTGCAGACAGGGGTTAAATGCAGGCTGACACTGTCACTTCCGCAAAAGCCTAATGTTGCCTGAATGCTTAATAATGTGTCTTTTTTTGGAAAATCCCTCCCTCATCAACCCAGTCCTGGCAAGTTATAATAATAATTGTCAAATCGGTTTAATTTAGAAATAAAATATAGCCTTTTGGTCTTCCCTAATTAACTACTCTGATTTGTCCCTCAGGGGGAAGTACACAGGGCTTTGTTGTTTAGGAATATTAAGTACTGCAAACTATTAGCATAATGGACAAAGAATCATGAATGTACACCCAAATGCCTTCAAACTGTGGATTTTTATAGCCTCTAAGAATGGCTTTGAATGATGTTTGAGTGATTTTCCATTTGGATTTTTTTTATAGTCTTCAAATTAGGGGAAACGTTTCCAGGAACATATTTATTACATAATGTCTTCAGGTTTTAAGATAGTGCTTCAAACTTTTTCATCAACTCAATTTTCCTTTAAAATGTTTGAATTTAATGAATAAACTCAGAGGGAAACAGCAGTATTGCTTTATTTAACAGTTAAGTAGCAGTAATATACCTGGAAATTCGGGTCTCTTTTGTATCGTAAACTAGAATCGAATAGTCTGCAGTCGATGAAAAAAAACAATCTTTCTATGCAAATCAATACAGAGACAGCTTCGCTCAATTAAAGCTGAGGAGTGTATTTTTCTCTAACGCATCACAACCATGAATAGAAGCTGTCCCGCTGGTTTCATCCTTTTTGTTGTATTCTATAGCATGTATAGGCAGGCCATATAAGAAAATAATATTGCTCTAACACTCTCTTTTGCACATTTGAGCTTAAGGGCGATTTCCTCTTTGAACAGCCCAGATATATGTTAGCTTATATTTTCAAGAAATGAACAATTATTTCAAATCATAAACAATCAAATCGCACAGTAACTCAAGTCTTTTACATGTGGGAGTTAATCTCCATAGAACACCATGTTAAAATGTCCAACTTTACAGAATAAATAAACATGTTCACACAAAAAAATGTTTTGGTCTCTATAGCTAATATCCTCGGTCATGACATCTGTTCGAGAGCATTTTTATAATATTCACCCATTTATAATTTGAGGATTAAAATGAGCCATAATTGAGGGCGTTGGCCACTTTAAGAGAAAGGTGGGTGCCTTCTCAGGACGCTGTATCTTCTGCTGCGTCACCCGGTCCCGCCCTTTGCTCCACCGATAATCCACCTCTTTGCCCATTTTCTGATAAGCCAGGAATTAGGTTGTCGCTGCCAAGATGGCCACGGCCGGAGTCACCAGCTTCACAACAGCTCCTCAGAAACCTATGGTTGACGTCAAGAGACTACGTCCATATTTTATACAGACTACGCTCCCTGCATGGCAAGTCCAAGACAGTTAACAGCTCCATCTGGAGTCTGTGTGCAGATGAACAGCTACATTAACGGCCTCCGCAACTTTCCTGATGATTGATGCAGAAAATAAACATTAAGCAAATAAGCAGCCTTGTTGGTTGGCCCCATTAAAACAGCTATTTTCAGACAGCCCAGGGTCAACATTACAAAATGTAATTAAAACTGCATTATAAGGATATTAATTGAATGTACCATGATACAAAAAGACCACATGGAGACGTAAAACTCATAAAGGCTTTAAAAACTTGCCGATGGACGCTGTGTATCAATAAGGTTTTCCAAAAGGTCGGCTCATGATGAACAAATTGAACATACAAGCAGCACAGAGACAGATTGATTGTTCGTATATTCTGAATACTTTTAAGACTAGTTCATCTTCTGACCTAAACAGACAGCGGCAGCCACAGAGTCGCCACTCTGGATATAATCTCATTCATGCCCCCCACCCCACGCACACATACACACACACACACACACAGGTTCTGTCTCATCTTTGTTATCAGAGGTGAAGTATTGATTCAGCTTGGTTGAGAGCTCCTGTGGGCCACAAACACCACACACAGTGGTCGCACTCCTGTTACCTTGAGAGAGTTCTCCGATCAATCCACCAGCTTGTTGTCATCAGCCGGACGAAGTCGGCAACTGACTCCAATCTGATATGATCTCGGTGCACAAGCCAATAGACTACAAGCTTGATATAGAAAGGCAAGAGGTGCATGCAAACGGCTTGAAGCCAGAGTGACTCATCTGAGCAAGAGGAGAAAAAGAAAGCTTGGAGACAAAACAGGACTGTTCAGAAAAAAAAAAACTCATGTATTTTCAATGTAATCCTGTATTCAACAGCAGTCTGATTGTCTTTCAGATATTTTAACAACTGGCAGAGACAGCCAGAAGGGAAATTAAAACAATAATGCACATCATGCCAAATCAAGGCGAAGTAAAATATATTTTTCAAATTTCACAATAATAAAAAGTATGAAACAAGTGCTCTGATTACTAGACTGAACATTCGTAATATATTCTCCATGGTCACTTTTCTATGAGACACGTTTCGCAGGAAGAGAAGTATTACACAAAACAGCACAGTAGTTCATAAGGAAACAATTCACTGCACCTCAGATTTACCTGTAAATATAATAGAAAGATTCGTATGATAACTTTGATCTTTTAAAACAAACAAAAACCTCCAGCAACCCTTTATGTTCTGCATTGTAATGATTGCATGTGTGCGCTGTATTTCTGCACTCAGCTGGTGCTTTGTACTTGCCATCACGTGGTGAACATGTTCGCTTTTTCTTTCAATTAGTTTAGATTAAAGAAACTTAAGCGAGGACATTGGATCACTGCAGCAAATGTAATAATGTAAACACACTAACAGAATATGAAATAAGCAATACAAGACAAGGGCCATTTAAGGACAACTTGGGGACACAAAGAATTGGAAAAATAGCATTAACTGCTGCATCTGGCATTTTGAAAAAGGAAGAAAAGTGTACCATCTACATGGTGGCGGGTCCATGGTTTATCAGATATCCATAGTCTGCAGTTTATTCTGTGCATCATTTAATCCTGAGATACTGAGTAATATAATGCTGTTAATGCTGTGTCTCTGATATTGCGTCCTCCCCATACATATGAATGAGAGTGAACTGAAAAAGATGCAGATGACAGAGGCAGAGATAGTGCACTTCAGGGATTTATTAACCAAAATATAAGATGCAAAGGCAACAGGCAAACATTTCCAACCAGGAGCAGGCAAGATAATCCAAAATACAGAGGTCAGGCAATAAGGTCCAAAACAGGTTGAATGGCAAAAAGCTGGAAAGCTAGGCCATGCACCTCACTCAACAACCTGCTGGTGGAGGAACAATGGATCTGGGCCGGTGTGTATTTATATATAGCAAGCGGCTGATGACGCAATGAGGTGCAGGTGGGGAGATTGGAAGAGAAGCTCAGGTGAGAGCAAAGAGGTCGTTACAGGGCAGTGGCGGGATCTGCAATGAAAGGACAAAAAGTCTGAAGGCATCTGGTGGACAGGTGAAGTATAACGTCGGAGAGGCCTGGGATGGAGGGTATGGCTGAAAAGATGGCCGGGGAGGCAGAAGGAGCAGGAATATGCACAAGTGAGGCAAACAGTGTGAGACTGGGAGCTCAGTGTTATTCATTAGCTTCTGCTTAGTTACTGTCTAGTCTGGTTTAACACGTTTACAGTTGGTGCTTCTTCTGTAATGCCAACAACTTTTGTTGACATCTACAAAAAGAAACCGTTTTACAATTTGGACAGACACCTGAAAATTTGGTGGGCATGGTCGAAATAGTTTTTGTTGACGTCATCGTTAACCTTGAAAATGAGAGCTGGTATTGCCTGCATTGGAAAAAATGCATGTGTAAATGAGCCATATCGTGGAAGTGCCGTTACACACCGCTGTCCCTGCAGGGCAAGCCTCTATACAAGGCTGTGTGACTGTGTTTACTTATACACTCACAAATCTCATACATCTACCCATTTGGTCTGGTTAGGACCGGTCAAACAAGGCCAATAAATAATAAGTCACCAACTCCCTAGTGTCCCTTTTCCATTCCTCTCTCTGTCTCTCACACACAGTGGGAACACATGAGTTAGTATTATGATTCACTGGAAGCTCTATATATGAAGAAAACAAAAAAAGGGGCTGCAATGTGTACTTTTTCAACAAAATCCGGTGTTGTGCTGTGAGATGATTACAACCACATGGGTGGGACTTTCCCATCCAAAGGCGGGGTGATGCTTTCCACATAAATAGTCGCAGTGCGTCGAGGCACTTCAATGAATCTGTGAGAGACACCTCGTCAGCTGAGCGACGCATTTCTTCGTGCGCAGGATTTCCGTCAAACTCAAGCTGTGCGTAAAATCCTGGAAGATGTTGCTTTTTGCGCCTCTGTAAATGGAAATCTGAACTTGCCGACACCAAGAAAATGCCTCAAGATGAAAAGTCAAGTGTGAGGTGGTTTCTCTTTCAAGCGGCCAGGGAAAAGAGCGAGAGAGTTAAATACCTCATGAATACCGCGGGAGACACGCATCACGCCATCCGATAGTGGAGAGGATAAGGCGCACAGGAGCGCACAGGTAAGTTGAATCCAATCTACGAATGGCACTGCATTTAAAATAAAACAACGTCTTTATGAAATAAAATTAATTTGAATTCGCAGTTGAAATAGTATTTTTTTTCCTAACAGTATTACACGTGTGTTTGGAAAACTGTTATGAGCCTCAAAACGTTTATTTTTCAAACTAAGATGATTTAACAAGCCGAGCATCTCCTGACTGGGGGCTACAGCTATTATAGTTTGGTGGACAATAATGCCAAGCCCCATGCAGCCTAAAGGGGACAGGGGCTTCAAGTGTTTGTTTTCTCAACAACATGCTGCGGGCTGCGCGTCACTCCCGTGTTTTGAAGCGCGGTTCAGTGAATCTTTACGTCACATCATGTATTTGTGCAACACATTTCCACAGCCTCAGGTTTCAACGTCTGACAACTGTTATAGGGTAATTATTATTTTAGGTCACCCGCAAGGCACCAGGTAAGGACATATAGATGCAGTTTCACAAAGACATGATGAAGTTAATTATGATAGGGTGCCAATTGGCCATTGTTCTAGTTTCAGACTATATGTTAATGCATTATACTACATTAATATATATTAGAGATACCTTCAACAACCTTGAGACCCAATACAAAATATGATACGGGGTTCAGTTTGGTGATCTTATCTTCAATCAATAGACAATTCTTACAGTTTACATAAAATTAAATAAAAAAGTTAAGATGTCCTCATTAAATTAATCAACATCCAGCACAATTTTGAGGTACTTGTACTTGGGCATAGTTTAATTATACTACTACTCCACTACATTTCAGAGTTGGTGTTACTTACTTAGCAGACAATACAAAATATAAATCAAGTAAAAAATTGGAATATATTGTTATAGATTAAGTTACCCTGCACCTATATGAAGTAATTTTAATTAGCTCCCCCATTACCAGCTGCAACAGTAAAGTGATAATGCATCTTTACTTATGAACAGTTTTACTTTTGGTGCTCAAGTATATTATGCTTTTGCATTTTTACCTCGATGTGAAATGCAGGAAAGAATACTGTGTTCAGCTGCAAGCATGCAGGCAACTTGCCAAAATAACTTGCTGAACATGTTTGGCCCCAAAATCCACTTAATGTAACTTTATCACTGTGGTGCTCTTGCTTAGATAGAGAGGGTTATCCTCATGTGTCCCATGGAATAATTTGCCGTAGCCTATTATTTACTATACAGCCTATATTAAACTTTATTTATAGCACTGTTCAAAACACTGTTATAAAGCGCTTTACAATGGGAAAAAAAGACATTTAAAATACAAAGACAATAAGATGGATAGAGTAACACACAGTAAAACAGACAAATATACAGAAAATCACAGAAAAGCAATTAAAAAATGTGTTTGGTTTGCAAAAGTGATAAAAAGATGTGTGTAGTCCTGATCTCCTCAGGTCATTTCACAAATTAGGAGCCGTGGGAGCAAAGGCTCTATCACCTTCACGCATGAATTATCAAGGATCTCAGGTGCGTAAAGGGACACAGGGCAATAAGAGATCTGATAAATAACTTGGGGCGAGGACTCTCAGGGTAATCAATAATATCTTAAAATCAATTTTGAAAGCAACAAGTAGCCAGTGTAAGGAAGCCAGGATTGGTGAGATGTGTTTATGTTTAAGCAGAGTCTTGGATGAGCTGGAGACATGACATGTGATATTTGGGTGATCTTGACCAATGGACAATGTCTCTATCTTAACAGCATTGAGCTGCAGGACATTTTGTGATATCCACTAACAGAGGTCTTAAGGCAGTTTCGCAGGTTGACAGTGTAGATGGTTGTTTCCAGAGTCACAGTTTAAATAGTTGGAAAATGGAAACTGATATTATGACCAAGAGGGAGCATATAAATGGAAAAGAGAACTGGACCCAGCACAGATCCCACAGCGAAGACCTGTTGCAGAAACACCTGCCTTTTAATCATTGCAGAGCAGAGCCACTGATACCGACCCAGATCTCAAGACGGTCCAAGAGGATATCATGGTCAATAGTATCTAATGCTGAGCTTAAATCCAAGAAAACAAGAATAGAGTTATGGCCAGCATCAGCTGACAGCAATAAGTCATTTACGACCCCTAAAACGAGCGGTTAAAAATATTCTGTTCGAATAAAATCCCTTTCTAAACCTTAGCTAACAATAGGAGCTAAAATGATCAAGATCCAAAGAATCAAGATATAGCCTTTTTAAAAGTGGTTGAACAAGAGCAATTTTTACATCATGATAATTTAAACGAATGAATCAGAAAACTTTTCACGGATCCCCTGGCAGAGTGCCACAGACACCACTTTGAGAAAAATGCTTGAGCTCCTTAATGTTGTGGGCTCCTCGCCACTTGGCTGAAGGCATTTTGTTTCTGCCGCATGATGGACATCTTAATCTAACTGCAGTGACAGTATTGAAACGCGTATGTCATCTTCTTCTAAAGTGCAACTTCCCATTAACAGAAATGGCAAGTTGGCCAGTGGCCCAGACAATTCAGTGGAAAGTTTCTCTTGTCTCCTGGTAAACATGGGCATACAGCCCAGAATGCCTCCTGCCCAAGTATTGGTGCAAAAAGGTCGACGTAACACAAATACTCTAAAGAAGAAGTTCACAAGCCTTAGAACACCCACAATAATAAACTACCGGTATGTTTTTGTTTTAGCATAAATTGCTAAGTATCCCATATGATTGTATATTTGTCTGTTTCTCATGAAATATTTCCTACTGTAATCCAAACAGACACTAGACACCAGCACTCCCTCCTTCAACATGGATGGCTACTACAATTCGACGTTGACATCCGAGAATGTCAGCTCGTCTCCCCCCCAGCCCAACTCCAACCACAGCTCGGGCGCGCTAATGCCCTTCAATGTTTTCACCGCAGTTATCTACACCATCGTCTTCATTGTGGGCCTTCTGGGTAACACCCTGGTCATCTATGTGGTGATCCACTACACCAAGATGAAGACTGTAACCAACCTGTACATCCTCAATTTAGCCTTGGCGGATGAACTCTACATCCTGGGAATTCCCTTCCTAGGCACCAATAGTGTGCTTTCCTACTGGCCGTATGGGGATTTCTTCTGTAAGCTGTGCATGACTGCTGATGCCATGAGCCAGTTCGCCTCCACCTTTTGCCTCACGTTGATGAGCATCGATCGCTACCTGGCTGTGGTTCATCCTATTCGCAGTGCCAAATGGAGGAAGCCACAGGTGGCCAAGATTTTAAATGGCATGGTGTGGGTTGTGTCCTTTCTGATTGTGCTGCCGGTCACAATCTATTCAAATGTACAGGAGGAGTTGAACGCCTGCAACATAACATGGCCTGAGCCGCATAAATTGCAGTCCATTATCTTCATCCTCTACACATCCATACTAGGCTTCTTTGGTCCTGTGGTCGTCATCAGCATCTGCTACCTGCTGATCGTCATCAAGGTAACGCAACAGATAAAATTGGCCTTTGGCTTTTATCGGTGCCTAAATAAAACGATTTTAAGTTTCTGCTCTCAAAATCTCATAAAACCTTTTCAAATGACCATCTCCATTACAGGTGAGGTCAGCAGGTGTGCGTGCAGGCCTGACTAAGCGACGCAAGTCGGAGCGAAAGGTGACGCGCATGGTGGTGATCATCGTGTTGGTGTTTGTACTGTGTTGGCTGCCCTTCTTCACTACCAACCTTGTCAACCTAGTTTATATCATCCCTGAGTCTGCTGAGTCTGCTGCAGTCTACTTCTTCCTGGTCATCCTCACCTACGTCAACTCCTGCGCCAACCCAATCCTCTATGGCTTCCTCTCTGAAAACTTCAAGCAGAGCTTCCAGAAGGTGCTCTGCATCCACAAACCAAATGGTGTTGGCTCTACAGGCCAGAGTGGAGGTAGACAGACTGCATCCACGGGAAACCACATTTCTGTTCTCCCCCCCAGAAGTCACACACAGAATGGAAAAATGCAGAGCATTCAGGTATTGTGCAAACAATATTCATGTGATCCGTGTAATTTCTGAATAAGCAACCCAAACTCACGGAAAGGCTTATAAATGACACGACATTTCAGAAATTTTCGTCATATATATATACTACAGAGAAACGGCTTATAGTGTGTCACTTAACGCCACGTGGTTACCATGAAACCATTGCGGGTAAACAACGACCACAGTTAGGTTCAAGCAACAAAACCACTTAGGTTTAAGAAAAACATCATTGTTGGGCTTAATATAACTATGTGACCTAAGTAAAATTCCTACGTAAACAACGTCACATAAGTACAGAAAACACGCCACAAAAGGGAGAAGTAATTATTGTGCTTTAAATAAATGTAACATTTTAATTACCTTATTGAAAGGCTTATTTAACAGCAATACGTCTCAGTTATATTTATACTTTGGGACCATACTATACCCAAACCAAATCTGCAGTGTACATGTGCACAAGTGCCATTGGCAGCCCCTACTGTCAAGTGCTCTGTGTCCCTAATGACTGAAAATGTAAAAATGTGACTTTCAGAGATGAAGCCCACTTTATGTAACAGACAGGAAAGAACGGAGCCCCAAGTTATAACTCTCAACAAAAACATTGCCACTAATTCCTTCATTGACAACAGGAGCAATAACTTGTGTCAAAGTCTGTCATTCAGTCTTTATTGTACCCCTCATCTCTGCATCGGTGTTCTTGTTTCAGGAGCCTGTCCAGATGGAAGTTATTGGAGACCTTGAGCTTCAAAAAAATTAGTTGATTGGCCAGCCATGAGTTTTCAAGCAGACCCTCCATGTATTAGAGTGCTGCAACATGGGACTTGGATGATTTATTTCTTTTATGGATTGGTATTTCCTGTCTTTATTGCGGATCTTCCCTCACTGACGGACATTTGTGGAGTGGACCGGAGGAGCAAATTAGGAGAGAAAAGACAGCGTTCATCCCAGATCTCAGCATTCGTGTTTGTTCTTCATGTCTTTGTACTGTAACTGGGTTGACTGCATTTTACGAAGCATCGTTTTATGTAAAGATGTAAGATATCAGTACAATGCAAAATACAGTCATGAGACTGTAAAATGCTGTAAATTCTCCAATAGCTTTATTTACCTTAACTGCAGACAAAAAAAACAACCAAACTTTTATTTTCAAAGAGGGTTTTTCAGTTTTATATTTTATCATATTTTAGCAAGAAACCCTTGTTTTCTCATGTGCTTTTCTTTTATTGGCTGCTGATGCTTTTTGCTATTATAGTTAACCTGTTATCTTGATAAGTTGATCAGTATAATGTACATTTCCCAGCACTAAGACACATCTGTTCAGGACGTGTTGAGTTGTCCTTCTGGAATAAACAATGAGTGAGAACAGAGTTTCTGTTATAGCAATAGATTGACAATTTTGGAAATATGCTTATTTACGTTTGCCTGAGAATTACATGACAAGAAAGATACCACTCTCATATCTGCCCATTTAACGGGATATAAAGCTACAGTCAGCAATAGGTTAGCTTAGCTTAGCACAAAGACAGGAAACAACTAGCCTCCAGCCACCAGCACCTCCAAGCAAAGCAAAGAAATATGTCTGATAATCCCCCATAAAACAGCGGATTGTTGTTTTTTTGCTTTAGTACGCGTTACCCAAAGAGATAATGTTTGATAACGCCGCCCGTCATATAAAACCGCTCTAACTTCCGTTTCACTGTGACTTTAACGGTCAGACTATAGAGAGTCGTATTGATCTACTCATCCAACTCTGAGCAAGAGTGTATTACCCAAAAACCTGTCCTTTTAAGAAGTCAAACTATGAAGTTAGTGCTGTGGAAATGAATGTTATGCTGAATTTATCATGTGAGCCATGATAATACAGGTAATTTCCTCCCCCCCGATCAGTAATTTTTTTTCACCACGCCCTTTTGTATGGCGTCAGGCTATTATTTGAAACTCAACCATTATTCTCTCTTTGATTTGAAATTAAAGTATTTGTGCTTTAGCTAGAGTGAGCACTTATCTGTCGGTTAATTGTAAACGTGGGAAGTGTTTTTGATGGTCATGACGAATATATTTATTTTGGCCTGTTAGGTTTTGATAGGCCTTCTGTGACATTTTGACTTCAATGTTACAAAGCTGTGAAGAAATGCCTTCAGGTAGCTCAGCCAAGTATTTATCTCCTCTCTCTCACATGTCGAAAACAACATCTGCCGGAGTGGATGCCACAGTGAAGTAAAGCCACCGTTTAGCTGCTGGACTATGAGCTTTAACATGCGGTGCCAGCATTTTTGGGAAGTTGCTGGACAACACCGAGGCATCTTCATATTGTTAAGACAAGTAAGACCACGTTAACGTGTGTTTATGGAGAGTGTTTTAAAAAACGACTCGCTAAAATGGAACTTTAATAGGATACCTTACAGGAGATATGTTGTGTGTGTTGGAAACAGTGGTAATTTTAACATAATTGGTCATCATTATTAATATGGAATCTTTTCAATGATTTTTTTCAATATCACGGCAGGTTTATGTTTCCGACTGAAGCACTTTATTGCTATTTCCAGTTGAAACAGAACAGTATGGCTTAAACCACTTCAGTTTCATTTTTTTGATTTTTAGAAAATTAAGTTTAAAGTAGTTTTAATGCAAAAGCAGTAAACAAGAAGAAGACATATCAGGTCATTGGACCAGATGGCTTTCCACAAAAATACATTTCCATAAAATTCTAATGTCAGCTAAATGACGGGAGGCGGTTCAAAGTTTCCCAGTGAGCTGACTTCTTGTTTGTTATTAATGGTGGTGGGGGTTTGTTTTACTGTTTCTTTATTAAATGCAACCGTGTAAAACACAGTGTGGGGTGCAAATTGTTTAAAACATTATTTCTTTTTATCTTAATAAGACAATAAGGACGTTGAAAGAGTTACTGGTCTCTGTTATCTTTCCCCTTCTCCATACTGGTTGTAAGGGCTGTGGACAAAATCCACAGCCCTCATTCTGAGTATGTGAGCAAACCGTTGCTTATTTACACATCCCTCAGTTAGCTCATGCAGGTTCATAAAGTGAGCACTGACTACATGAATATCCGCCATTACCTTCAGTGAAGCTTATAATACAGTCTAGGAAATTAATCATCAACCATGTATGTCTTCTACTATTTCCTCTCTTTTGGGCTGCCTCCTCTATATACTGTACTTCTATCACATTTACTCTGCTGTCTTAGCCATTATTCTTTGTCTGTTTACTGACAACCTGTTTTCGTGGCTGGGTGTGGGGGTAGAAACACACTCTGTGCCTTCTGCAGCCTCTGGTCACCTTGGTGTTTGCGGTCATTCTGCTTTGAGTCCATCAACCTCAATGTCAAGTGAAAGAACCAGTATTATTATCTAGAGGGGAGAAGAGCACATGACAGTAGACAGTTTTTGTTTTGCCGTGATCAAATGTTTTGACACTGAGTAAAATAACGACTGTGGCACAAACAAACATACACTCACTTATTCTGCATTTTCCTCAAATTGTGACAGAAATTAGTATAATTAACAAACAAACTTCAGAGGTGTTTTAATGGCATTGATTTGTCATTCAAGGGCAGGACTAAGCTAAGGGTCAATTACACTGCGGCACAGTCTTATATAATGTCGCTAATGCTCTGGGCAGTTTTTGACTTTGGTTTTAGAGACAAAACAGTGGACATATTTAATCTTACCAGAAACACTTGTACCAATCTAACTCCTTCCAAAATATGACATTTTATTTATTATGCATGTATATATAATATATATATATATATTCAAACAACATCTCGTAAAAACGACCCTTCAAAATAAGTTACTTGTCAATTTATTTTCAATTCTCTCTCAAATTCTAGCAAGGGCACAGTCAGAATTAGGGACATTCATGCTTCCTAGAGGATGACCGGACTTTGGTGATCACTTTACTTCAGAAGTAGTGCCAAAAAAAGAGGTAATACTTTTCCACTTGTCCAGCAGGTCAGGACAGGATAGCGCTACAACTAATGACTATTAGCCCCATTTGAATGAAAGCAAACATAGCATGCTAACATGCTAACGCCACAATTCTTCAAATCCAATTCAGTTATGGTGCCGTTTTCTTGGGATAACGAGCAATTTATTTCTGGGAAGTAATTCTTTTAAAACCACCGGAAAAATTCTGCCCAACTTAAAACTGTCTGTTCAAAGATCACACAAACGTCCTCATTGATTTACAACTACAAAGACAGCAAAGAGACACAAAACAACAACAAAAGGAGGCTGTATAACTGTCTTACTCATACGTAGGATAGGTGGTGTGGCCTTTGTATTGTCTCATAATCTGCCCATGTGTATATTGCAACACGAATGAGGTTTATTCTCATGAAAAGATAGTTCTGGTAGTTGATGCATGCAGCTAAGGTAAATATGGTCTTATTTTAAGAGGAAAAGCAACATTTATTATATCTCTTTTTTATCTTTCTCTAGTGTGAAACTATAAAACATGTCTAGAGAGTGCAAGTAGTGATAAACAATAGCTGTCAAAGAAAGAAAAGTAGTATTGGAAAATAAAAGCAGCATGCCCAGTTTGAAGAATATTCTCAATACCTCGTGAAGTTGCTTCACTTTAGTTATATCACATTCACAAATACTGAATTATTTCTGAGTAGCTTTTACAAGGTGCTTGAGTTTATTCAAAGCCATGTTGGTGCTCTGAGCTCAGCATCACTTTCAGGACATTAATCCATCATTAAAGGGCTTTCTGGGAAGACATCAATCAGAAACCAGTAAACTGACCACACATGGCTTTATGCACACAAGATGTGTTTGTTGACGAGTCATTGAGAGGAGGAGGAGGAGGAGTATTTCACTTCACAAAACAAACTCTACATGCCAGTCTGTGTAGTGACGGAGAAGAAAGGAATTTAAACATTTCTTTTTTTGTCGGATTAAAGAGACACTATAAGATGCTGACATCTGAAAAGCACCGAGTGAATTGTGAAAGTTTCCATATTCAAACGATCGTACACATATGGGGCACATTTTGGAATTACAAAAAGATCTACTCTGTATTTACAAAACGATCTAGAGTATGATTTATTTTTCCTTTCCTCCAAAGTAAGAGAACCTATAACCTTTAAGTAGTTGATTAACACCTGATTTATACAATGTGTTTGTTTGGGGATTGTATGTTGTTGTTTTTACAAAAGAAGTTGTTAGAAATGTAAACAATGGGGAAAAAAATAAGTATATCAAAACACAAATTTTGAAATTCTCAGGTGCATTCCTCCAGTGTGAAATGACTGTAAAGGTATAGAGGGTACACCTGAACGAAGACCACTGACACTGAAACACTACTAATCACTACTTTTAAGATATCCTGCATGGTGCCAAGCTTAGACTAGCGACGTTCAACCCGTTTCAGCAGCATCTTGGCTTTATTTTTCATCTGTATTGCATTGCAGCAAAACAACAACAAGCCAATCTATTCTCCTAGTTTGTGCAGGCTTTTAGCTGCGAATGTCGGCACGTAGAGGAGCGAGGAGCATTAAGGGAATCAGAGGGAAGAGGAGAAGGAGTGTGTTGCCATGTGAGCTTAATTAAAGCTGAGAGCTTCTTCCTGCCTGTGCCAGGGGGGGAGGCAGGATGCCTCGATCCATTTTAATAATGTATACCAGATAACTGCTTCAGTAAACCAAACCCAGATACAATCTTAATGTCTATGCTTTCTTTGCCATTATCGCTTGACCTCTCTCCCGGTTTCCTTTTCTGATTTTGAAGGAATTCGACATAGGCTAATTTGGAAAGTGTCAAGGTTTTTTAAGATATCATCTCAAGAAAACAGCATGCAGCGCTGGCAAGCCTGATATAATTAACAGGAATATACGGTCACGGAGACCTAGAGACTTTCAACTGTGTCACCAAACTGTCATTTTCCTCACACAGGTTTCTTTCTCCCCTACACCCGTAATATTTAGGTGACTCTCTGTAAAACTGAATACACTGGAGTGGGAGTAGAGGCGGCATGGAGCGCAACAGCGTGTCAATTAAATCGGGACAAAAACTATGTAGCAGAGAGCGCATTTGTGCTTTTTCCACACTTTTACCAAATTATGTTCTCTCTCTCTCTCTCTCTCTCTCTCTCTCTCTCTCTCCCTCTCTCTCTTAGTTGTTGTTATTTTGAAAGTTTTAACAAGAAGTTGTGGTATGGTATTCTGCCTTGACGCTAGGTGGAGTGGATGGTTGCTTTAAACTTTGCGTCCCGAGTGTTCACTGCCCTCTAGTGGTCACCATGAGATACTGCGACACTACATCAGAGGCTACATTTGTATATTTGTATTAATATAAATAGTTGAATTGCTTGTTTTTTTTTTGTTTTTACATATAGCAGTAATATCACAATTATATCTGATTTATAAATAGTTTAACTTAGGCAATCATGTGTTTTATTATCAAACAACAGCACTATGTAATACATGTTTTAATTATGACATGTCACACCATATAGGCCTAATGATTTTACCGTTTCCTGGCGTCAATTTGGTGAGAAGAACTCAAAATAATGCCTGGCCTCCGGACCAGGACTGAGGACTTGCCACCCAGGGGCAGTATTGTATAACTTTGAAGCCTCTGTCTCTGCCCTGAATATTTCACTTTCCTCTTTGAAACAAATAGGTAGCCGGGCCAGAGAGAGGTGGTGCTATAGCGCACAAGGCGCTAACCCTGCGCAATCTACACTATAACTGCATGCATATTCTCCGACCGATTGTTATGGATAAATGTGGAGGAAGAGGTGAGCGCGCGGTGATCTTTTCGACTGAAGTAGATCAGTGATGCTCCGCTGGAGGTTCTGAAGTCTGTGCGCGCTGCGAAGGATCAGTTTTGGAGTCACCGGCAGTGCGCTTCAGCTGGACACACGATCTGGAGGACTGGTCGCATCGTTTTCTTAAAGTTTGCTGCTTTTTGCATGTATTTTTAACAGTGGAATCTCTTCTTTTTAAGTGCACTTGGAGTTGTTTGCATTGTGCTTTCGTCTTTCTTTAATATGGGGGAAAGCGTGCGCATCGGACACATATGTTTTCGCTCCGTGGAAGTTTAGCCGCGCGCCCGCTCTCCTAAAAGCTCAATCTTTGCATTTTAATCATTACACTTCAACTGAACTCTGCAGGAGGCTTAAACACACCAGTGAGAGATGGCCACCGAGCGGAAACCACGGCTTTGTGTCATGACAAAAGCGCAGAACGGGTATGGATTTCACTTGCATGGCGAGAAAGGGAAGAGCGGACAATTCATCCGTAAGGTGGAGACCGGCTCCCCTGCAGAAGCGGTGGGGCTGCGCGCCGGGGACCGTGTGGTTGCAGTGAATGGGGTCAACGTGGAGAAAGAGACACACCACCAGGCAAGTTGACGTGCATTTATATTTGGGGTTTTACGTCATGCTACATACAGCACGAGCGTTAGTTGGCTGTGCAGTGGTGGGCTAGCTCCATATCAACAGGTCACACTGGCTGGTGCGTGCATCCTGGCACGTTTTCAGCCAATCACACATCCCTCCTCCTGGTATGATGGGGGGGGCATTGAAACTTTTTGGTTTGACATAAACAATTTCAAGAGATTAACCTGCACAGTCCCTTTGTTTGGATATAGCAGGTATGACCAAAAGAGGCTGAGATAACTGTTCAACTGTTTGTGTCTTGGCTGGTGGTCAGATAGACAGCAGATAATAATGTTACCATGCTCACAGAAGCAGAGGAACATCAACACCAACAACCTCTGAGTATATAAGGTTTCTCTCTAATCTAACAAAAAAATAACAGTTGATCATTGTTTTTGAAGAACAATTCTGCTGCACAGAGTTGTTTAATTTAACACAAAGGTTGACACAAGAATCAGCTGCTTGTGTTGTCAGAGAATGATGTTTGCTGACACCGTCATTGTTAGAGAGCCCAGCATGTTGAGGGATGTTTCTACAAAATGACTTATATGTAAAGGAATCATATGAAGGATTGATTCAGAGCATGTTTTGGACTCATAAGTCATTTACAGACCCCATCCTTTTTTGTCGGACAGTCAAAGAGATGCAGTTTTCTTGGTAAGACAAGAACAAGCAACAAATCTCTACATTTAAGAGACTGAAACCATCAAACGCTGGGCTTTTTGCTTGGAAAATGAATCTCCATCTTACAGTCTGATATTTTGGGCTGTGCTTGTATTTCTATTACCAGGCTTTACACCCACACGTCTAAGAAAAGTGTGAATGTGTTAAATACTTTGGAAAGATGTTCGAGCGCTGACTGCTTTTAGAGAGACTGGATCACGAAATGATGTTCTCTTTGATGACATTGGACAATTCTTCTATAGCTGCAGTCTATTGGTTCTCCGCAGCATTGACTCTTATGTTCTTTTATTGCTTCTTCAAACAAAATGACCAGTGTGTTGCCGTCCTCTGCCGTCCCTCAGGTGGTACAGCGGATCAAAGCCGTGGACAACGAGACCAGGTTGCTGGTGGTGGATAATGAGACACACGAAAGTCTGCGCAGCCTCCGCCTCACAGCCACAGAGGAGATGGCCGTCCTCGTGGCCGAGCATCCTTCCTCCTCCTCCTCCCCCCCAGCCTCCCCCTCACCAACCCCGTCGTCGGTCCCGTCCTCCCCCAGCAAGAAGCGGGAGAACGGCTCGGTGTCCAAGCAGCCGGTCACACTGAGCAGCCAGGTGCAGAAGCCCACCAGGAGGTCACCGTCGAAGGCTGCGAAGAAGGTAAGCTGGTCCTCCTCCACCACAGCAGAGACATGAGTGAACAGTCTCTACTTTGGTTCTCTGTAATGCTTCTGTTGGTTCAAAATTTGGACAGAGGTGTGTGATTTTTAAGGGAGGATCTGTAGGTGGATCTATAATTATAAATCATTGAAGATGTGAGGTTCTCCTGATGTACTAAAATGAATCTCATTATTCTGTCAAGCTGCCAGCCTCCTGGACGGTATAAAGAAACGGAGGCCCGTTTTCAGGCTCATGGAAGCTGATCTCAAACGTATACATCTGTCAGATAGGTGTTTGAAGTTAACAGCTTATTTAGTGCATTAAAACTATCCGAAGCCCAAGTTGATATTGAAAGCGCTTGTTTTGTCCAATCAGCAGACCAAAACCTCAGTACATTCTGTGTGACATCAAAGAAGACAAAGCAAATCAGCAAATATTCACATATTGCTGGAAATAGTGATTTTTATTTTTACAGTTTGGAAAATATGCTTATTGGCTTTCTTGCAGTGCGTTAGATGAGAAGATGAACAACGCTCTAAATATGAAGCCGTGGTCAGCAGCTGGTTAGCTGAGCTTAGCATAACAACTGGAAACAGCTAGCTTGGCTCTGTCCAAAGGTAACATAAACCAGCCTATTAACGCTAATTAGTACGTTTTATCTTGTTTGTTTAACTAATACGAAAACAGAATATTTCTTGGTCACATCCTGGAGTCCAGTACATAACCCTCTCACAACATGTAGTTTTTACACTTTGGTGTTTGTACAGAAATAAAGAAACAGTAGTACAGCAACAAATAACTCGCTTTAGACTAAGTTTCCTCAGACCCTTAAAAAAAGCACTCTTAGAGATTTGTCAACTTCCAAACACAAGAATTAAAAATACTAAACGCATTAGCAAACAGATTGCAGACACTTAGTCATTCCTTTGAGCAGATTCTCCTCAGCTCAGACATGCTTTCACCTCAGACCTGTTCTCTCGATGCTTTGCCAGTTTCAGATTGGATTAGAGGATGTCATGCAAGTTTCCATCCTGTTCTGCAGCCTTCCATGCATGCAGCGTCATCTATGTCTGTTCATTAATGTGTGCGTGTGTCCCGAGGGAAGAACATGGCTAGCTGAAAGCACTCCAGATGTTGTGTTTGAGGTCAAAGAGGGCACGAGAGGTCAGAGGTCAGGGTCCCTCAGATGTTAGGAATCTGCCAACGGACAACGCAGTGACTCTGCAGAACAGGAAATCCATAGAAATCGTAAAAGATATGTATGAATGAAGACGGCTGGCTGGGGGATTTTCTGAATGCCTTTGTGTGATAGATGCTGCATTTATTGTGAAATGATATTCCAGAGGGAATGTTGTTTTACAGGCCACTCACATCTCATCTTCCTGTGTTTATTTACACATACTCGTTGTCACAGTTGGTTTGCATAATGCTCAATAGTCATTTGATACATTTTAGTTTTGGGTTTTTAGAATTCACTGCTTTGTTATTCCATGTCGACATGGAAAACAGGATGTGTTTCCGTCCGCTCTGTCTCTCCTGGAACGCAAAGATCTGATGGACTTCGGTTTCATGTGGCCCGTATCAGAGAGACGAGGCAGCTCAACTTCTGCTTTCTGCATTTACACAAACATGTGTTTTCACTTAGGTTGGCCCTGCCCATATGTGAGCGGCACTCAGGCACCATTTCTACAAGAGCAGTGACGGGGCCAATCAGTTAAATCTTAAATGTGTGTGTGTGAGTGTGTGTGTGTGTGTCTTTGTTCAGCTCTGGCTTTGTGACCTGTGGAGAGAAAGCCCAGTGCTTGGTGGGGTCGGATTGGCCCAGTTAAGGTTCAGGAAATGCTTATAGGTCTCCTGTTTCTCTCACTCTCTGTTCAGTGATTATAATAAAAGGATGGAAATAAAGTTTAGCAGGACGAGCCAAAAGGCATCAGCAGTGCGAATGAAAAGCAGAAAAATTGGAGGACAGTCTTTGAGCTGCTGTTGGAACATTGATTTGAAACAACATCATTTACACTTTGACTGACCATAAACCACCTTTTGTTAAAGCTGGAGCACTGGAACCTGCCTCTGTCAGCTGATTGGTACCTTGAGAGTCTGCAAAGAGCTGGATGTCTCTGTTTCCTGTCCCATCTCAAAGGAGGCTGTTCCACCACAGATTTGCAGACTCAGTATTGACGCTGCACGCTGATACAGCAAATTACGTCTTGTGTGTAGTAGTCATTCATCCATGTGGCTGGCAAGGAGCTTTGGCAATCAGTGCAATCTAATTACCACCACAAAAGCAGAGGGGAAAACAGGCTGATCAGCAATTAAAACCATTCATCACCAAGTGAATAATCGGAGCTAAAAATCATATATGTCTGAGTTTTACAGCTGTAGAAGTCAACTCAGATCGCTGTGAGAAGTTTCAGTGAGACTTGCTGAGAGCAGCACATTTCTTCTCATATTTTTATGGTCAGGAAAAGGCGGGAGAGAAAGAATGAGGGAGCGATGGAGAGCAGACAGCTTTTGGACTGAGGGAACTCAAGAGTGGAAGCAGCCAAGCCAATAACAACCTTGAAGATTTGTTGGAAGGAGTTTCAGGAAGTGGGCCCCCCTCAGTGGGGCAGGAGAGTGGGGAAAGCAAAGGTTTGCAGGGTAGCGGAGTCACTCGGAGAGTTGTTGAAGAGGTTTGATAGTACTTGGCACTGGGCCTACCGTATGTGAGCATGTCAGTGATGATGGGAGTCTTTGTGCCTTTGTGAGCAGCACCTTGTCTTCTGCTGAAGATTGTAAAATAGTCTGTAAACATTCAACGACCGATCAGACAGAGAACCAGATTAACTGGGCTGTGCAACACGGTTCATATTGTTTTATGATCTCCGCCAAGAAAATCATGCGATCACTCGTGTGTGCGTGCTGACTTCTCACTCACTACTCTTAACAGTCCACCGGCCAGGAGGGGCCACAAGTGGTAACACAGCGTAGTGTATATCTGACGCCCTGCCAATCCTCTGCAGCCAGAGACACATCAACCTCACACTTACCTAAGCCTGAACAAATGCTTCAAGTCACAGTTGCACCTGTGAGACAGAGCTGAGACTCGTGCCTGCAGAGCCAGTGCAAACATCTGCATAGATTAAAATGAGAGTGTATCTGTTGTGTTAAAAACAGGTCTGATACACTCTAGAAGGGGGAGATTGCGCACTCTACTGAGTGCGTCTCATGACTTTTTTTTCATTGTCAAAGTAATGCAGTGACATCTGACTGTACAGCCATGTGTACATTGCAAACAGGAACTGCTAATAGCTAATTCTGCATTCTTTTAATGGTGGCAATTAACCAAAATGTTAACAAGTAAAGGCTAAAACTACAGACCATCTTGCGATGTGATCACACCAGCCGTAATGACAAAACAGGTCAGGGGTGTAAAGTGCCCCACTTCCTACCCCTGCCCCCACCCCCCTACTTACGTCGCCCTAGCTCAGACCACACCCATCTTCCAATTTAATCTCAACTACACACATGTAAAGTTTGTGACTGCATCGGTCGTGGCGCTATCGCTGTGACAAAATCTGTTCACAGACATAAAATAAGGCAGTGGACTCAAATTGTGTGACCAAAACTTGAGAATGTTTCCCCTCCTCTCTGTGAAAGCCATAGGATTTGTTTTTGCAGCTACAAATTTCAGTCCAAGGTCCTAAAGGACACACAACATAGACTACACATTTACAGGCACATATACAAGGTCACAGCAGACACATGGGTAGACTTGTAGCCTTTTCTGCAACTGTAATCACTTGCACATTTCTCTATTAAATGTTCCCACTAGTGGTTTTGTGTGTGTGTGTGTGTGTGCGTGTGTTCCCTGGGTTACATGACACGGTCTGTATTTTTCCTCTGTTTTATTGCCACTCATCCACCAGGTCTCTTTTTTTTAACCATTTCTAACTCAATTTCCCAAACTATAAATCATGACCAGTCAGCAAATTTCTCTATTTTGCTGATTTCTTCACCAAAGCTCTCCGGCACAAATACAGTTGAGCCATGTTGGGCTGTTAGAAATCCAATGTCCAGGTCTTAATAGGCCATTACTGTTGACCATGATGTACTGTGAATTACACAACGTTATATAAGCCTGTTCAGTGTACGGCTTGTAATAGCCCAGAGCTGTTTTGTTGTGGTATTTGGGCCTGAAGAAGGACCGATGTTGGAGAGAAATGCTGCTGTCACTGAGAACATCAAACATTTCTTAAGTCTGCTCATCAAACTCCTGAGTCTAAAGTTACATCAAATATTGCCCTGGCTGCCGTCCTTGTCCAACCAAATGCATTATCCATTAATCAACGTCCCTCTTGTTCATTTTGTGCAATATGTGGAGTTAATACAAGTGAATTGCTGGAAGAGCAGCATGTAAATCAGTGCACTTTTAAAAACAATTTAAAGACATGTTATCTCAGTCCATCTCTCTGTGACAAGATCAGAGGAAATTGTATTAAACTGAAAGCTCTGTTCAGTCACTTTCTTAGCTGTCGTCTCTCAAGCTATTTTCTGTCCACATTTTTGCTCAATCATTTGCTGTCCAGCAGACAATCGAACACATTTAACACAATCGCTGACAGAGTCTGCCCGTGCCTGTTTCAGAGAGAAAGGAAGAGACGTTTCAAGGACAAGAACATTACGACAGGTTTGAGACGTATTATCTTACTTAACACACACCTGAGGTGTCAGTGCTCTGGTCATTCTCCCCTTTGCACACACACACACACATGTGCTCAGGCGTGTCGTGTGGGTGTGTCATTAAAGCTCAAGGTAAAGTGTCAGATGTCACTTTCTCACCAGCACCTTTTTTTTAACTCGCAAGCACACACACATGCAAAGAAAATGTATTTCCTAACTAGTGATGAGCATTTTTTTTTTCCCCCTAATATTATGCCGTGCAGACAGACGGATAGGCAGAGATATACATTATCAGGTATTTTTTTCTACAGCCACATGGAAACAGACATGTCCCTGGC